GATATAAATTTGTATGTACATTATTTTGATCAATTATTTCTTGTAATTCTTTAGGCGTTTATATTTTTGAAGAAGAAGAAGAAGAAAAGGGAAAAAGAAAGAGAAAACATGAAAGAATGAGAAACGTGAAAAGAGGAGGAGAGAGAAAGAAGAGAGAAAAAGCTGGAAAAATGGATGAGAGATAGCAGTTTGTTAATAATTTAATTTTTGAATTAATTGTTTTTTATTTTCTCATTGTAGTAATTGTTAACTGTATGTTTTGGAATGGAGTAATTTTGGAATTCTCTCAAAGCAGTTTTAGTTATGGAAATAGTATTATATAGTAGAATAGTTATATCTTTTCGCCAATGTTGTTTGTATATTAATTTTTTTGTTTTAGAATTAGATTGGTATATACATAAATAACTTTTTTCAAATTTGGTAAGTGTACATTTAATTTTGTTATTTTTTTTTCTCTTAGTACATATGTCCTTCTTAATTTGGGCAAGTAATAATATTATCATCTTATAATTTTCTCTCATATTTTTCTTCTAAATTACGATTTATAAATCACTTTCTGCACTGCTTATTCCTCTTTTTTTTTTTATATTAATTAGTCCATCAAAATTTTTAAATAAAATTTTTATTTTAGCAATTACTTTTATAATATATTTTTTTAAACTCAATTAAATATATAAATTATGAATTATGATATACAAATGAAAAAAAAAAAAAATTATTTCATCAAGCTCGCTGCTCTCATCCACGGTCCACCTCGCCGTAGTGGTTGTCTCGACTCCAAGGGCCACCACAATTTCTGTGTCCCTCTCCTCTCTAATTCGCTTCAGATCTGTAGCAACAAAATGTACGGATTCGAAGCGCTGACCTTCAACATCCATGGCGGTTACCTGGAAGCCATCGTGCGAGGGTATCGTTCGGGGCTTTTAACGGCCGCCGATTACAACAATCTCTGCCAGTGCGAGACCCTGGACGACATCAAAATGCACCTTTCTGCCACCGAATACGGTCCTTACCTCCAAAACGGTTAGTTTATCACTATTCTTCTTGAATAGCTACGACTTTGGATATCCAATAGTCTATTCTGCAAGTTGGGGATTTTCTTTAATTGATGAAATGGCCAATTGGACTGTTAAAATCTGGAGTAGTTTGGTTGATCCGAGTGATTATCTTCTGATCCTATTGATCAACTAGAAATCAGATTAGATTAGTCATTTTCCAGTTTTCTGAGTAAAATAATCTTGGAGGTTTTGACATTTAATATGAATCCGTTGGAATATTATGTGCAGTTTTACATCTGATTTTGAATATGAGTTGATCTGCAAGAGTTTCCTGTACTTTTTAAATAATTTAGATCCAAAGTTCACAGTAGTATGCTGAATATAGGATGTGCCAACTGGGATCAGCATTCTACTACATATTCTTTTAATGGTATCGCTTCAACGATTTTCAGTTTAGCTACTAATCACATGAACGTGGTTGAATATTTTTTGGCTAGTTTTTATTTATTTATTTATTTTTTTATTTATTTATTTTTTTTTTGTCATTTTCAGTTTATACTGAGCTAGATTTGGAGCCATTATTATTAGCTTCCAAACAATTTCCATTCGAAAAGACGATTTTAATTGCTTATTGTAGAATACTATTGCTAGTAAAATAGATTACACTAAAATGTACTGAGACTTTGAGAAGCTGAAAATAACTGTATCTGTTTTGTTGATTAGTTACTGTTTACCATTCGTTGTTGATTACTTGTCATTTGTCCGTGGCTTTACCAGTGCGCTTCTTGCTGGTAATGACAGATCTAAAATGAACCATTGCCCCATTTTTCTGTTTCTATTTGTTTTTCTTTTTCTTTCTTTATTGAATTGCAGAACCCTCTCCATTGCATACTACAACAATTGTGGAGAAATGCACTCTTAAACTGGTGGATGAGTATAAACACATGTTAGCCCAAGCAACAGAGCCTTTGTCTACCTTTCTAGAGTATATTACGTATGTAGCTCTCCGTCTCTATTACTACTTGTACATTAGTAGTCACTCAATTGATCCATATATAAGCCCATTTATGTGCTTTTTATATCCTGATGAAGATTAATAAAACCTTAACCATTTTGCCAAGTCAATGTGGGTGGTCTTACACAGAAAAAGTTAAAAGTAAAACTGTCTTATTTAGTATTTAGGTTCATAATCATCCAGAAAAAAATATTATGGAGGTACGTTACCAGTGGGAAGATTTACATAATTTATAGTGTATAAATGCAAAGCTTTCACCAAACAGAGGCAATTGTGTCTCGAAAATTCTTCTCTGTATAGCCGTTGTGTTTTTACCATTTTCTCTCCTATAGTTTTTTGCTTCCAAAACCTATACCGACTTTTGTTCTTATCTGGAAGTTTTTATTATTACTTAGATATGGTCACATGATCGACAATGTCGTCCTTATTGTAACTGGAACACTGCACGAGAGAGATGTCCAGGAGTTGTTAGAGAAATGTCATCCTTTAGGGATGTTTGACAGGTACAGTTACCCTAATCACATGCTTCTTACATGCATATGATTTGTAATGCTTTATGAATTTGACCATTTATTTCTACAGCATTGCAACTCTAGCTGTTGCCCAGAATATGAGGGAGCTTTACAGACTGGTGCTTGTTGACACACCCTTGGCTCCATACTTCTCCGAGTGCATTACTTCAGAGGTTCATACTGCTGCATTTATTTTTGTGCATCAGGAAATTGAACTTTTGTACAGCTTCTTGTTTTAGGGGTCACAACTCACAAGGATCTACAGTTGATTTGTGTCACAAAATTTTCAGCATGTTTTATTAGCATAGACTGGGAGAAAGAAAGGCCTGCAACTGGTTGCTGTTTAAAGTTTGTGCTCTCTTGTATAGTTATTATAGCAAGACTTGAAATAGGAATTGGTTTAATTTGTGTATTCAGTGAGTTGATATAAGGTCTGTAATTGTATCATTTCTCTGTTTCATTTTTTTCTTCTCTAATTTCCTTCCTCTTTTTTNNNGTTGGTTTGTGCATCTGTGTGCATGTGTACGCATATAATCTTACATGGATGCTTTTGCAGGACCTTGATGACATGAACATTGAAATTATGAGGAATACTCTCTATAAGGCGTACCTTGAGGATTTCAACAGATTTTGCCAGGTTTGGATCATAAAAAAATCCTTTTGCTTGTGCAATCTTATATTATTAGTCTCTGTTTTGGGGATCTGACTTTGCAAAGATCTACTTGCAGAAACTTGGTGGCGCTACTGCTGAAATTATGTCTGACCTCCTTGCCTTTGAGGCTGATCGAAGGGCAGTTAATATCACAATAAACAGGTTCATTCGATTCCACAAAAAAAATAATTTATGTACAAGTTAGCCGTAATATTCTGCTAACCCTTCTGTCATTTTGTGTCCAGCATTGGCACCGAGCTTACTCGAGATGATCGCAGGAAATTGTACTCTAATTTTGGTCTACTGTAAGGACCTCTTTCTTACCATGTTAAACTTCAAAGAGCTCAGATTATAGTACAAGTGCACTAGCGTCGTTTTCCCTGTCACTTACGGCATATTTTCTTGATAGATATCCTTATGGTCATGAAGAACTTGCTATCTGTGAGGATATAGATCAGGTACTTTTTGATGGTGTTAATTCCAATCATTTTGAATGCAATAAACCATCAACACAGAAATCAAAAGTTGAATGGACTGAACTAAATTAGAAATCATCTTTTCTAGTTATGGTCTGATATTTTTTCTCAATGACTTTTCATTAGATGGGAGGGTGTTTGAGGTACTGTATGTTGCATCTACAATTGTCTCTACGTACTGTTGGGTTTTTACATTGGTAATACCTTTTCTAGGTTCGTGCTGCCATGGAAAAGTATCCTCCTTATCAGACCATATTTTCTAAGTTGTCCTATGGTGAGAGTCAGTTGCTCGACAAGGCCTTTTACGAAGAGGAAGTAAAACGCCTTTGCTTAGCTTTTGAGCAACAGGTTCGTTTCCCCAAGTTCCCTCTGAAGGAGCACTCATAAATAGTGAAATAGTGATTTAGTTTTTGGATCTTTATAATGGTAATTACAAATGCTGCATTATTTGAGGATAAAAAAAAAAAAAAAAACCCTGTTAATCTTTCTAGCTGCTAATAACACCCCAAGGAATGTTTTAATGTTGCAGTTGGTCCTTCTGAGGAATTTTATGTGAAACATACTCAAGCCTTTAAGGGAGCATTTATAATTTCAAAGATAAACGGAATTTTGTATAAACATCCTAAAACTCTGGTGTAGATGTCTCTGTGTCATCACATCTTTACAACATTTCCTGCACAGACCCACAAGTCATTGAGTTATTAATTTTTCCCCCTTTCCTATTTTATTTTATCGTGATTTTTGTGAGCCTTGGACAATGCAGTTTCACTATGGTGTATTCTTTGCGTATATGAGGTTGAGAGAGCAGGAGATCCGGAACTTGATGTGGATATCTGAATGTGTCGCACAAAACCAGAAGTCCAGAGTGCACGATAGTGTTGTTCCTATATTTTAATGTTCTTATCTGAAAATTGTATAAAAAAACATTAGGAGCGCTGTTTCCATGAACGTCGCCACTATCAATTCCCACCTTGATTGTTTTTCTGTTTCTTGATTTATATTTCACTGCTGAGAGTGTTGCCCATTTTGTTCTGACTTCCATTAATAAGCGGGGTATTTGTTTGCTTTCAGTAGTGCTGAAACATCTGTGAACTTTGCCTGATGTACAATAAAACTGGTTATATTTATTGCGTATTATATTACGGATTGACTATTGTGTTGGTCAGGTTTTTGATTAAATTTATTATTAAAGTGACAAAGGTTTCAGTTTCATGTTGAACTAGTTCAAGTGACAAAGGTTTTTACTTTTCATGGGTAGAATTTATTCTTTCCTCGCTAGTCATCTCCATCCCGGAGCGATTGTCGTCTCAAAATCTCTCTTTCCCCAGTTTGATAACATTACAAAATCGTTCCTTCCCAGTTATAAAGCATTCATAAAAAGAACCGGATCTGACATATGTTTGAAATCAAAAAAAAAAAAAAAGTATAACATTAGGCCAAATTGCAATTTTCACGTCTACAATTTGAACTTTTTGCTATTTAATCTTGTGATTTAATGCAAGTACGCAACTCGTGCGATACATGTGCTACAGTTATTTATGATCTTTTAAAATTAAAGGTTATTTTGACAATAAAAGAGGTATCATATATTGGACAGCTGTTCGACATAAAAAATAAAATATACATTGTTAGGAATGTGATGTAGAACGTGGTAAACGAATGGGAAATACAAGATACTTTCTTGATAAAACTCAAAATATCTGATAAATTCTCAAAGTCAATAGCTGATCAGTTTATGTGTAGGAGAGAACAATATATAGAATCCCAACTCTCCTAATCCTACTTATCTTGCCTAATCCTTACCAATACTAATCAAATAACTAAGGCAATAAAAGGATAAATAATACTAGGAAATAAAGAACTAAATAAGGAGCCGGTCATATTTATTCAAGAATGCAATCGCGATCTCGTCTCCATCATCCTCCTCCGGTTGAGAAGGATTCGGCCGCGAATCTGGACCGGTCTCGTCTCCGTCAGAATTGTCACCAGTGAACGACACCAAATGCTTGATGTTGAAAATGTCAGAAGTGTGAATGTGCGACGGAAGGCAGAGACGATAAGCATTTGGGTTGATATTCTCAATCACTTCGGCTGAGCCAATCTTCTGGGTAGACAACTTGTTATACTCATGGGCCGAGAACCTGTCCTTTATCAAAACCGCCCAAACAAAGTCGCATATCTCGAGCTCCACGTGCTTGCGCCGAGCGTCAGCCTGGCGCTTGTAAGATGCCGTAGTCTTCTCCAAACGAGCACGAGCCGCAGTATGGGTCGACTGCAAATCCACGATAAGATCCGCTGCCCTCCTATCGACCGATGCGGTGGACAGTAAAGTTAATAAGTCAGAAGGACCACGTGGCTGAACTACATAAACTGTCTGGAATGGTGACAAATCGGTGTGATCCTGAGGTAGCTAGCGTGTATGAACGATCTCTTGCGGGATTGGGAGTTGATATATCCTATCAAAAGTCCCTTATTTCCACGTCCTGGTGTAATTGAGCTCCTAATGGAAAGTTAACAACTCTTTCTGTTTTTATGATATGTTCTTTACTGAATTGAGTTGAGAAAGGGCATTACTAACGACCTAAATATGCGCGAAATCGTCTTGGCTCAGCCAATGGTCCCAACTCCGGAGGTTATCGCCGACTAAACAACAAAGAAAGTTCCCCAACGAGAGATTCACCACCTCCATTTTCCCGTCCATCTGCGGATGATACGCACTGCTAAAATTCAGACGCGTATTCGCCATACACCACAAGCTATGCCAGAAGTGACTCAGAAACCGAGAGTCGCGGTTCGAGACAATAGAGGAAGGAAGGCCATGTAAGCGGTAGATCTCCCAAAAGAACAACTGAGCCACATGAACAACATCAGTGGTGCGCTTGCACGGAATAAAGTGCACCATCTTCGAGAACTGATCCACGACAACAAAGATGGAATCGAACCCCCGTTGAATACGTGGTAAACCCAACAAGAAGTCCATACTAATCGCGCTCCATGGTCGGGAAGGAATAGGAAGAGGGCGGTATAAATCGGCATTAGAGGTAACCCCCTCTTGATACATGGCAAACTCGACAGTGCTCCACATAATGTGCCACATCCTTCCGAAGTGACAGCCAAAAGTAAGACCAGCGCACAAAGTCCACCGATCCATCGCGGCCCACGTGATCGGTGCCACAGAGATCGGCAATGGGCTGCTGCCGAAGGCCGCAATCCGAAATTCATATGCGCACCCCACAGAACAGAAATCTATCAGTCATAGTGTAGTCCTCAAAAGGACCCATCTCGAGGTGGCGCACAATCGACCCAAAGAAAGGATCATCCACGTAAACCTCCTGTAAAACATCGAACCTAATAACGGAAAATGCATATCCGTCAAAAGAAACGTCTGACAGCTCAAGGCATCCGCCACTCTGTTCGAAGCACCAGAACAATGCCTCAGAAAAAAATGTAAACTGCTTCAAAAAAGCCGTCCAAGAAGCATGGCGTGCTGAAATATTGTCCTGGGACGCCAAGTGATGCAAGGCCTCGTGGTCCTTATACAGAATAAGCTCCCGATGAAAAAGATAATGACGCCAATGACGAACCGCACGAACCACAACGTAGAACTCGACATCATAAGTATTGTACAGTGCCCAAGGACGAGATAACTTCTTGCTAACAATGAGACTCGATAGTCGTCCTAACTCAGAACTGATCCAATCCCCACCTTCGATGCATCACATGAAAGCTCAAACGGTCGCGAGAAATTGAGCAAAACCAACATGGGCGCAGAGTCAACTTGCTCTCATTAAGCAGCCTCAGCCTCCGGAATCCAAAGAAAAGACTTGCCAGTGAGGCAATACGTAATTAAAGCTGTAATCGGACTGGCGTGAGAAATAAAACGTCGATAGGACGATGCAAGGTCGTGGAAGCTACGTGCCTCAGTGAAAGAAGTCGGAGGTGGCCAATCGCGAATAGTAGCCACCTTGCTCTAGTCCACGCGGATACCCTCGGTCGAGATCACAAAGCCCAAGAACATAATCGAATCCACCAAGAAGAAGCACTTACGTGGAGCAGCGAAAAAGGACTCGGCATGTAGAACAAGTAGCACCGAGCAAACATGTTGTAAGTGCTCATCCATCCTACAACTGTAGACAAGAATATCATTGAAATAAACGATGACACACTTACCTATAAAATCACGAAGCGCCTGATTAATCACAATCATGAAAGTACTCGGCACATTCGACAAACCGAACGACATCACCATCCACTCAAGCAGCCCCTCTCGAATTTTAAATGTCGTCCACTCATCGTTAAGTTGGATCCGAATATGATGATAGTCGCTACGGAGATCCAACTTGGTGAAGACGGTGGCGCCATGAAGCTGATCCAACAAATCGTCCAACCGCGGAATTGGGAAGCGGTATCAGACCGTGATTTTGTTGATCGCTCGACTATCCACGCACATGTGCCAAGAGTTGTCCTTATTTGGGATAAGCTGCACCAAAACCACGCACGGGCTCAAACTCCTGCGCACTACCCCGCGTTGGAGGAGCTCCTCGACCTGGCGTCATAACTCCTCATGCTCTATCGGACTCATCCGATAGCAAGGCCTGTTCGGAAGAAAAGCCCCTGGCACCAAATCAATGTGACGTTGAAAGTGGCGATAAACCAGAGGGAATCTCATCCGATAAGACGTCGTCGAACTCATACAATAGAGGATAGATAGCCTCTGGCGGTGCCTGCTCGCCAACCGTGTCCGAACCTAAAATCAACAGAACCATCGGGGGGGCTCGCATCTCCTCATAAAAGCCGCACATGAGAAAAAAAGGACGGACGAAGAACCCGTAGCCGATAAAGAGCGAGGTGGAGCAGGATGCAAAACGATCTTAACACCTCCAAAAAGGAAGCTGTAGTGTTAAGATGACCGTCGTGTGCGGCTGTTCGATCAAACTGTGACAAGCATGTTAGAGTAGAATCCCGGCGTTCCAATCAGACTGGATTTATTTCTACTTATAAAAATAATTTATTAAAATTTATATTATTTTGAGGCATAGTTTTATCTTATGTTTTTGCATTTATCCTATATTTGCACATATGATAAAGTCCTTATATCATTATTGGCTATAAGACATGGTTGCGCATTTGATGGCAATCATGGAACATGTCTTTAAAGCTGTGATCTTAAATAAGTTCAAAGTCTTCGAGACAGGACATTGAATAGCCCGTTAAGACTTGTGCATATGATGTATGCTCATCAGATGAGAATGTTGCATTCCATCAACATTAGCGTGTAGACGCAAATGCATATCTGCGGGTGCTTGTTGGAGAACAAGTTCATTGAACATGGCCCGATGAAAATTCTTAACTAGAAGTTCTCGAATAAGAATTTTCATGTTGCAATAGTACATGACTGATCCTCTAACTTGAGGCACGATAGTAATCTTGTGCATGTTGTGATTTACTTTGATTTATCCTTTGATTGCTGGACAATCACAAAATGGATATTTTGGGTACTGTATTAATATGTATGGAGGTTTATTTGTGGCCAACAAAGAATTCGACACTTATGTGGATAAGTGAATTTCTTATGTTTTTCATAGTTTGTGATTCAAAGACCTTGGTCAAGGCAGGATGACTATGGATTCATAAAAGAATCACTAAACGTGAAATGAAATCATAGTTATTAAATTAATTGAGTTTCGACTTATAAATCCATGCCCAAGATTTAATCGAGAAATTAGTTGTCGAAAGGATTTTACATGTATGCACTTACATTTGAAAAAGTTTACTCGCTATTTCACTTAACACTAGATAATCATGCTACTTGCTAGGTGTTACCATGATTTGTGGGTTCTTGAAATTAAGGAGTTAATTTCAAGAATATAAATTAATTAGATTAATTTAAATTACAAACGAGTTGTAAACCCACTACTAGTGTTAATCGTGAACCTAAAAGGGTTACACCAAATTTTGAAAGATGACAATTTTGAAATTGGTATTTCCAATAGTTGGATTAATTGACAAGACTTAATTAAATAATTTGATTATTTATTTAAATCTAATTTTTGATTAGATGTCAATTAAAGGAATAATATAAATTAATCAATTGGATTGATTAATTAGGCTTTGGATACTAATTAAGTAATTATTTAAATTACTAAATTAATAGTTGGATTTTAAAATTAGATTTTAAAATTCAAATCCAAAGAATAATATGATTATAAAAAGGGGAGATATTATTCTATTTTGAGATAAAGATATTTTAACAAA